GAAACACGACTTTCCCAGGGATAAAAATAGACACAGGCAGAGCAGCAAGCCCTGGGAGCAGAACTGGCTGGGGAGCACGATGCTCTGGCTGGTGCCCAGAGGGAGCCCAGGGGCTGGGGGTGATGCCACAGTGCCTGTGGTGGCACTGGCACTGCTGTCCATCCCATCCCCCCCAGCTCAGCTGCCCTCACCCCACACAGCCGGCCGTGCCATAATGGGCTCTTGTGGGAAGAGCTGAAATCCTGCTCAGGAGCCCCATAACCGGCTTAGGGGGATGGAGGGAATTACAGCACCTCGTGAGCCATGGTCTGCGGAGCACCCGGACACCATGTCCCCATGTCACTGGCAGGAGCTGGGGAAGATGGACCCACAGGGGCACAGCCCAGCTGAGCTTGTCCTAGAGCCACAGCAGCTCCACGAGCCAGGATCCCTGTGGGTTAATGGCCAGTGTCCCCATCCCTGCTGGCACCCGTGCTCTCCGTGGCTCCCTGGCACTGCCATCCTCAGTGGGCGCTGCTGCGAGACCACAGCTGAGGGTTAGTGGTCCAGGTCCGAGAGACCATGGAGATGGGGAGAGCCCAGGTGCCAGCCTCTCTGTCTGAGAGGGTGCTCAGGTGTGAGGAGGGGTTCCTTCCACCATGGGGGTCCTACATTCTCAGGATTTAGCAACGATGCACAGCTGGGTCCCAGCAGCAGTGTGAGTGGCACCAGCCCAGGTTTTCTCTGGGGGTCTGGAGGCAGCACTGCCACTGCACCCCAGCCACATATGGGCTGAAATTGGCTTGGCAGGCAGAGAACTTGCATGGTCACTGTCCCATTGCCATCCTGGGGAGGATAATACAGGTGCTTGGTGAAAAAATGAGTGGACAAATAGCTGAATGTGAACACCAAGAAGGGTCAGGTGAGGATGAGGACAGGAGTGAGGCACCATGACTGGGGCTGGCTCTGTGCCAGAGTGGCTGCCTCCAACCCCACCTGCCCCCAGCCCCATGTCCCCCAGCTCTGTCCCAGGAGTCCCCGTGACCAGGAATCTTGCACAGGGTTGCCCACATGCCAGGGCCGTCACCACCAGGGTGGAGAAGCTGCTGAGGGCCAGTAGGAAGCCGTGTGTCCTGCGCTGTGTCCTATGCATGTGGTCCAGAGGAGGGATGTCTCAGCCACATCTCTTTACCCTCCTGGTGCTGCTGCTCTGCTGCCAGGTAAGGATGGACTGTTGTACACAAGGATGCTCTGCCCCATGCTCAGCTCACAGGACTCCCACTGATCCACCCATCCCTCTGCATCCTCTCACCATGGCATGTGGTCCAGCAGCTGGTGCCCCTTTCTGCCTCCCCTGCCATCCATGAGACATGGCATGGCACGGCACAGAATGGCATGGCATGGCATGGCATGTTGGCCTGCACTTGCCTGTGGCTGTCCCCAAGCTGGGGTCACTGCCTGGCACAGCATGGTGGCCCCTGCGAGCAGGACACATGTTATGGGTGATGCTCCCTGGTGCCCGCAGGGCCCCTCTGCCCAGATCACGGATAATGTCGTTGAGAGATGGAAGGAGTACAGTGAAGAGTGCCTGCGCAATATGAGCCGCCTGCCTGCGCCCACAGGTCAGTGTCTGTGGGGGGACCAGTGGGCTTCTGGTGGGATGGGGTGGGGACAGGGTCCTATTGAGATGGGGATGGGGCAGAGGAACCACCAACACAGTCGCAGCAGGATGGGGGATAGAGCAGATGGGTCAGTGGAGGTCCTAGCACCCAGAGAGAGGGTGAGGCCAAAGCGCCACCAGCTCCTGTCCTTCTGCAGAGCTGGTCTGTAACCGCACCTTCGACAAGTTCTCATGCTGGCCTGACACGATGCCCAACAGCACAGCCAGTGTGCCCTGCCCCTGGTTCCTGCCCTGGTACCAGAAAGGTAACAGCGGGGAGATGCATGTGCATGTGCAGCTGTGCAGTGTGCTCACACACACGTGCGGTGTGTTCACACATGTGCAGTGTGTTCACACATGTGCAGTGTGTTCACACACATGTGCAGTGTGCTCAGACATGTGTGCAGTGTGCTCACACGTGTGCAGTGTGCTCACACATGTGCAGTGTGTTCACACATGTGCAGTGTGTTCACACACGTGTGCAGTGTGCTCACACACGTGTGCAGTGCGCTCACACACGTGTGCAGTGTGCTCAGACATGTGTGCAGTGTGCTCACACGTGTGCAGTGTGTTCACGCATGTGCAGTGTGTTCACACACGTGTGCAGTGCACTCACACATGTGCACCTGTGCGCTGGGGACACCTGTGTGCGTGTGCTGCTGCAGGCAGTCACACCTGGGCCAGTGCACGCTGCCCACAGGGGCGCTGGGGCTGGCACAGGCCACCATCCCCTCCCCTCACAGTGAAGCACAGACACGTCTTCAAGACCTGTGGGCCAGACGGACAGTGGGTGACAGGGCCACGGGGACAGTCCCTGCGCGATGCTACACAGTGTGAGCAGGATGACGAGGACCTAAAGGCTCAGGTGGGCTAATCTGGGTAGCAGGGGTGTGGGGGTCCCTCTCTGCCCCCCTGCCTGCCCCCCCATCTGCCCCTGCTCTCACTCCCTCCCTCCTCTTCCAGGAAAAATTTGCCAAGACCTATGGCAGCTTCAAGGTGATGTACACTGTGGGCTACTCTGTGTCCCTGTGTGCACTGCTGCTTGCCCTGGCCCTGCTGCTGGGCTTCAGGTGGGAGTTTGGGCATGGCTGTCCACAGGGTGGGCAGGTGGAGGCTGGGGGCCTGTGCACAGGCATTGACAATGGCCCCAAATCCACAGCAAGCTGCACTGCATGAGGAACTACATCCATATGAACCTCTTCGCCTCCTTCATCTTGAAGGGCGTCTCTGTGCTGGTCATTGACGCCCTGCTCAAGACCCACTACAGTGACAAGATCGATGGCTACAACGTGCAGGTCTGGCTAAGCGACGAGGTCAGTGCGGCCCTGGCAGGGACAGGGACAGCAGTGCTGGTGGGTCAGGGGGTTGGCTGGTCTGAGGGCACCAGTGGGACGAGTCTGGTGGCACTGGTGGGACTGGGGGCACAGGCACACAAACACAGGCAGTGCTGCAGTGCTGCAGCGCTGCAGCACTGCAGTGCTGCCTGCTGTAGTGCTGCAGCCCTGACCCCTGCCCACAGGCAGCCGCAGGCTGCCGGGCAGCCACGGTCTTCATGCAGTACGGCATCGTGGCCAACTATTGCTGGCTGCTGGTGGAAGGCATCTACCTGCATAACCTGCTGGTGGTGGCCGTCTTCTCTGAGAGGAGCTACTTCACCCTCTATCTGTGCATCGGCTGGGGTGAGTGTGGGTGGGCTGGCCCCACTGACCCTGTCCCCTGCTGTGCCTCACCTGTCCTCTGCTCACCTCCCCTCAGGGGCGCCCATGCTGTTCCTGATTCCCTGGGTCATCGTGAAGTTCCTCTACGAAAACATACAGTGAGTACCAGCTCCAGCTGCTGGCTGGAGGGGGGCACAGGGCACAGGTAGGTGCATGTGGGACTGTAGGGATGTTGTGATGGCCCTGGAGAGACTCCACACCGTTGCCCATGCAAGGAGCAGGGTGCTGGGCCTTAGTGCTTGCATGGCTCAGGCTGCCAATGCCATGCTGGACTCCAGCAGCTGCCTGGTCAAGGGGCTTCCTGGCAGTCCCCATCCCTCCATTCTGCAGGTGCTGGTCCACGAACAACAACATGGGCTTCTGGTGGATCCTTCGCTTTCCCGTGTTCCTGGCCATCCTGGTGAGCCCACTGCAGTCCCTTGCTCAGTGTCTCTCTCACAGGCCCCAAGATGGCTCTGAGAAGGGCTGCTGAGGGCAGGGGAACAGAGGTGTCCTGCCTGCCCCTGCCTCTGGCACTACCTGTGCTCTTGATGGCTCCCTCCATTCCATTGCAGATCAATTTCTTCATCTTCATCCGCATCATTCAGATCCTTGTTTCCAAGCTCCGTGCACACCAGATGCGCTACACTGACTACAAGTTCAGGTGGGTGCTGGACATGGCTCACCCTGTGTTCCCATGGTGCACACGCATGTGTGTCCACCCGGTGACCCCATCCCACAGGCTGGCCAAGTCCACACTGACACTGATCCCACTGCTGGGCATCCACGAGGTGGTCTTCGCCTTCATCACAGATGAGCATGCCCAGGGCACGCTGCGTTACGTCAAGCTCTTCTTTGACCTCTTCCTGAGCTCCTTCCAGGTGAGGCCAGCCCCCACAGGACCAGCCCTCCATGGGGAGACTGAGTCTCAGGAGGGACTAGACTGAGGCCTGGTTATGCATTTTACACCTCTCCTCCCTCTTCCCAGGGGATGCTAGTGGCCATTCTCTACTGCTTCGTCAACAAGGAGGTGAGCAGGACAGTGGGGGCAGGGGCAGCAGGGGCACAGGGTCACACTGACAGCTGCTGCCCACAGGTGCAGGCAGAGCTGCTGAAGCGGTGGCAGCGCTGGAAGCTGGGGAAGGACCTGGCTGAGGAGTACAAACACACCTACAGCCACGGACCCAGCGCCCGCAACGGTGCTGGCAGCACCTGTGAGAAGCACCAGCTGGTGAGTGGCTGCACCAACGGGCTGGGGCGCAGCCTGGCCAACCCCAGCTCCCAACGCCTGGAGAGGAGTGGGCGCAGCACTGCCGAGCACCTCGCCCTGGGGGGCCATCACCACTGCTATGAGTTTCCCGAGACCACAGCTGAGAGCCACTTCTGAACCCGCAGCCAGGCAGGAGGGCTGTGCTGAGCTGCTGGGATGCCACCGTTCCCTGCCCTGACCTTCCCAGGTGCTGGCAGGCACTGGGACCTGCCACCCTGGGGAGGGTGCTGCACTGGGCACATGGACAATGGACACAGTGAGGCAGGCAAGTGGGACCTGGACCTCTAGAACGGGGAACTGTGGGGCCAGGGGGATCTGTGGGGGTGGGAGTTTGTCCTATGGTGCTGCCCTCGTGCACCTTCGAGTCGCTGTGCGCAGTGCTGTAATTTATCTGTCATATCTGTAAATAGGTGTGGGCCCGTGCCGGGCTGCAGGGCCAGCTCTGCGTGTGCCTCTCTGTGGGGACTGGGGACACTGGGGACATGTGACACGTGTGGACCATGTTCCCAAGCCACAGCCATGGATGGGGAGCGGGTAGCTGGCAGGGATGAGCTGCACCAGAAGACAGCCCCACTGACTGCCCCACTGCCAGAGCCCCAGCCCAGCAGCCCCGCTGCCCGCCCCGCGGTGCTGCACAAGTGAGTGGGGCAGACGTGCAGCAGCTGCAGCCGNTTTCTCCCCGTCATCAGTGGTGGCTTCCAGGCTGGCCCCGAGGGACAGGAGGTACCTGCAGGATGCGGAGCTGAGCCGCCGGGCCGGGCGGCCCCGGGCCCGCAGCCTCCATCGCCGGGAGTGGCACGGCCCGAGAAGCCCCAGGCGGAGCGCAGGGACCAGGCACCCCCCGAAGCAGCCACGGAGACTCTGCTCCAGCCCGGGGCTCTCGGTTCGCAGGCTTTGCAGCGCTGGCAGGCCTTCACAGCCCCTACCTGGCTATGTCAGCGTAGCCGTCGCTGCAGGCCATGTGTAGGGGCGTCCACCCGTTCTCATCTCTCTGGTGGATGTCAGCACCGTATTTCACCAGGAGCTTGACACAGTCCAGGTTTCCCGTCAGCACGGCTTCATGGAGGGCTGCCATGCCTGAAGGGACAGGAGGTGTTAGCCCTGGCCCAGGCAAGGGCTCTCCATGCTGAATTCACAAGTTGTGCACAGCTCAGGAAAGGGGTGCAGGAACTCTCCTCAGGGAGAGGACTGTGGGGAAACAAAACAGAAAGTCAGAGAAGCTGCTGTGGGTTCCTGCTGCCCTTCTGCAGCATAAATACCCTGTCTGGGATGGTGCAGCACCCATTGCCCCGGCTAGGCAGGGCAGAGGGAGGGAGAAGGGATTGCCCCTTAGAGCAGCTGCTCTGAGTCCTGGACAGGACTCACACGGAGACATGAGAAACGTCTCTGGCGTCCTGCTCTGACTGAGTTTCAGAAGCTCCTTACTAACAAAGAATCGTTATGGACAGGAAGAAGCCCAGGTCATTTGAGCCTCTTGTCTCCACAGCCTTGTGAGAGCAGAAGCTGAAGCCAAGCACAAGAAAAACTACAAATGTGGGCTCTGCATCAGCCTGTGCAGATCAACGCATTCCATAAACAGTTGCTGATGAGGCAGGCAGAACACGAAGCTTTCCCCATGAGTCCCCAGAGTCAGACATACAACAGGGAGCAGTGCCTGTGAGAAACAGGCGGAACCAGGAACAAGTGCAGATCCCGCAGTCTGGGGAAAAGGCAGGAGCCCCACTGTCCTGCCCAGAACTCACAGACTTGCCTGTGCTTGCTGCTGCTCCTTGAGGTCCCACCACGCTGTAGGTGCTCAATTGTGCCTTACAGGGACCCAGAAGCCAAGCTCCCCCTTTCCACAGCATGCACTGACTGTGCTCTTGAGGGGAGATGTTGGGGCATTGGCCTAGGGCTCTTGGGCCCTGCTGGGCACTGCTCCTTACTAGGGAGAGGCCTGGCTTCCTCCAGTCCTGAAGGTGGCCCACTGCCCAGCTCCAGGGTCCCTCACAGCCCCACCAAGCTGTGCCGCTGCTCTACCCCAGCTCTGCCAACCAGCAGCACTCACCAGAAGGGTAGATGGTGTCCAGTGTCACCTTCCTGGCTCGTATGAACCTGCCCACCTGCTCCAGGTCCCCCTGCTTGATGTGGTCCTGAAAGACGACGTCGTTCGGGAAGTGCACAGTGCGCGAGGCCCTCAGACGCGGCGTGTAGCGGCCGTATCGCGGCACCGACAACGGGCAATAGTCCCTCATGCTGACAGGAGCCTTCAGGCACAGCGGCATGGGGGGTGCTCAGCACTCGGCCCCGGCCCCTCACTGCACTGCTGTCTCCTCTTCTGCCTGTCAGGGGCCCTCCTCACTACGGATCTGTGCCGGCCCTGCACTGCTGCGCTCCTGCTGTGCCCCTGCCTGTGTCAGTGTCCCCTTGCTGCAGGGAAGTGGCAGCCACCCTGCTCTTCTGCACTCCTGAGTCACATGCAGGAGGTGGCACCTGGCACTTGCAGCTCACCTTGGCCCAGGACTGATGATTCTCTGGGAGCACCACATTATAAAGCCTCCCCTGGGCTATTTTGGGGACATGCAGCTCATGCTATTTGCCATGATGCTTCGTAATTGAGCCGCCCAGGCTGTAGCCTCCCACTTCTGGGCAGAAGTTGGTGTCTCATCTTACCACCCACCTGTTGATGTGCCTATCCAAGGGGTCAAACCTACTCTTGCATGGGTAGCCTGGAAGCAATTTCCCAACATCAAGCTCTTCTGGGGGAAGGGGCACGGGCACAACCAGCAACACAGGAACCGGCCGCTCGTGTCCCAGCTGGCAAGTGCAGTGTGGATGTGCCAGGGCTGTGGTCGCAAACACATGCAGAGCTGTCACCCTCCTGTAGCTGCAGGGGACAACTTGAAAGGAGCAGGAGGAGCTGTGCTGCCCAGCACAACTGTGGCAGCACACAGCCCAGCATGGGAGCACAACCTGAGTCAGATGCCCCCTGTACCCTTGTGAGGACAGAGGTGCTGCTGGTGATCCTGAGACAGGTGCAGAACCAGATGCCTGCACTGCTGGACCCTGATGCTTCCTGTCCTACTTGAGACAGGGAAGCAGCTGCTGCTGCTGAGGGCAGGCTAGTACAAGCAGCTGTAGAGGAACAGCAGAAGAATAGCACCACCACCAGACAACTGCCTCTGATACTCTCCAGCTACACTGTCATGACCCAAAACAGAACCATCTGCCACAGAGGAATCATTCAGGTCCATCAAGGGTTTAAAGCAACCACTGTTTTTCTCCCATCAAAGTTTGGGCCTGTCAGACACTCAAGCATTTTGTGCTCTGTCATGTTGATGGGGATTGTACAGGCAGGTGTGTTGAAAAAATCCTTATGCTGCTTTAGGAGTCAGAGATGTCACTGCCCCCTCCTGCTGCAGACCCTTGCCCCAGCTCAAGCAGCACAGCCAGCCACACACCTTGGAACTCCTGCATTTGTTTATCTGCTGCCAAGTGCATCGATCTCTGGGCCAAGCATCTGCTTCTGGTTAGATGAGCCTGAACACAGCACAGGGCATCCAAGCTTAGTGCTGGGAACAGAACACTTCCAGCCTTTCTTGGAACAGCAATTAGGCATGGACATCAGATGGCTAAGCTCCTGCTCTGCCACAGAGAGCCTTGGGCTAGGAGAGGCACCTCCTCTAAGCTGAGCATAGTGGGTGTTTGCCCAGGAACAGAGAACCACTGCACTGCTTGGTCACAGTTCAGCTGGCTGTACAAAATTGACCTATTTGAGTCAAATTCTAGACGCCATATTTCAGTGGAACTTTACTAGTGAATTTACTAGTGAGATTCCCTTCTTCCCCACGCCAAAAGACAAGGCAGCTGTCACCAACCAGCCCAGCCACCAGCATGGCTGGGTTTGTTGGGGTGCAGAAGTGGCCACTGCCCACCTTCAGTCATGTGAGGGCACAGCCCTGGAGGGAGATGTCTTCAGAGATCCTCGCCATGTAATTGCAGGTACACCTGGCCACTGTTCTATCAGGGACAATCCTTCCTGATCCGTTGGTGAGTGGGTGCCTGCTCAGCCTCAGCCCTGGTGCTGCTGTGCCCAAAGCATGGAACACCACATCAGGACTGTGCTGGGGCTCAGCTCCCAGGGCACAGCAGGAAAAAGCTGGAGCTGGAGACAGAGATAGGTGTTGTCCAGCACCCCTGTGCCACTGATCCAGCACACATCCCACTCGCTGAGAGGTGCAGAGGTGCCCCCAGTTGTCCTCTAGCCTCACTGTGCCCTCCCTGTGACATTTATAGCATATTTTCTAACCAAAATACCTTCAGCAGCAAGCAGCAGGTTTGGAAATAGCAGCGTGGCTCACGGGGTCATGTGAGCCTGACTAGAAGAGCCACAGCAGCCCTGGCGTGCCCTGACTCCCTGCTCAGCCCAGCCAGCTGGCTGAGGGGCTGCACCCTCTCAGAGCCAAACCACGGCCCGCTCACGCCCAACAGAGCACCTGCATGAGTTCATGCAATCTGGGCAGGACACCAGCATTGGAATGTTCTCCTTTACAAATTACATGGAGAAAGTGACACGCACCCCATTGCAGCAGAGTCCCTTGAGAGTCACCCTACAAACTCTGATCTCCCCCCCTTCAAGGGTAGGGTCAAATATTCTACACTCTGATAAAGATGAAGAGACATAATAGTATTAAAATCTCAACTTTATTTGGCCATCAAATTCGGTACCAATGTTATTGTAGCAGAATGCTAAGAACCAGCCTGATGTAGCTCAGGCCTGTGAGGCACTCCCTCAGTCACATTCCCAAACCCCAGTAATTGCAAATGTCCTGTTTGATCTGTTTATCAGGCCCTCCCCCACCACCCACCTGCTGGGTCAACCCACTCAAAATAATTCATGGAAAGGGATTGCAACTCTTGTCTTTGATCAAAAGGATGTCAACACAGCTGGTGAGCCAGCAGCCACCTCCACCCTCAGAGCCTGCCACAGCCAGTGCACACAGTATTCCACCCCTCCAGGAGTTTGGAATAGTTGTCTCCATGAGTCTTAAAGGAGAAGGGAAAGGAAACATCCGGCTAGCATGAAGAGAAGCACCTTCACATACACCTTTCCCCAGGAAGCCATCAGCCCTCTGCCCCTACATATACTGAAGGCCAGCCCCAGGGAAGAACAGCTGACACTGTTAAGGACCCTGCCAGGTGCAGAAATCAATTAAGGGCTTTAGTTTTGAAAGAAAAAGAGAAAAAAAGCTGTCTTGGAAGATGTTAGTGGCAAAGCTCCAGATTGTCAGGCCACTGAACTCCTGGTACCACCTCACAACCTCCTGCTGCCCAGAAGAACAGAGTTCTTCAGACAAAAGCTGTGTACAAAAAAGTACATCACAGTAGAAAAAAGAGCCCAGCTGGCTGGGCTGGCTCCCTAGTGACAGTTCCCTTTTCAAAAGCCAAAAGAAAGAAAAGGTAAGTGTACAGACAAGTGAGGGTAAAGCGTTACTTTAGAAGCCAATCTCTGGATTTCCAGTCATTTACCTTCTGCTTTAAATCTTAATGGGTTTCTGACTCACTGGGCTGCATCACAGCAGCCAATTTAGTGTCTGATTTTTTGGGTGATGTAGATCAGTCTTCTCTTTACAATTCATCCTTTTGGAGTTTCTGCTCATCCTCATCACCTTCCTCAAGTTCTGTTTCTTCATCCATCTCCAGGTCCTCCAGATCCTGTGGAAGTTACAGACAGCTCCTGGTTTCTGGCACATGAGGCAGATCCAGAACCAAGCACTGAGCAGCAGCCCTCACCTGGTCACTGCTTTCTACTGCCATGCTAACAAAACATCCAGAGACTTCCATCAAGAGCTTCAGGTTCAGGACACTAAGGATTAGGAACCCCTGGATGCTGGTACCTGTACATCTGTAATAGCCTCCCCACACCCTCCCCACCCCAGCAGATGAGAGCTTCCAAGCAGACAGACAGGTATGTGGCATTAATCACACAGCCTTGTTCCAGGCTGAGTGCCCCAGCACTGCTACTGTACACCCACAGGGTGCTCCAGAAAAGGAGCCCATTGCAGGCCCAAAGCCAGCCAAGCTGCACCTGAACAGATCACACTGATCACACTTCGTTCACCAGCAGTACGCTCTCCGGATAGGTAACAAAACAAGATCTTATTTAGGACTGAGGATTCACCCACAGAACCACATCTGACCCATGTTCCAAAGGCCCAGAGTACTTCATTCACATTACTCACATCATCAGCTGCTGCCCCATCCTGACCTCCGCTTTCCAGGAATTTTTTGAAGCCTTCTAGTGTCCTTTCCCCATTATAGTCTATTACCTACACAGGGAAAACATAAGGATGCTGGCTGGTTATGGGCACTACAGACCTACACCCCTGGAGAGGAGGATTCTCTTTCTGAGCAACAGTGAACATGCCAAGCAAAAGGGAATTTAAAAATTCACCTTCACCCATATGAGACGAAGGAAAACAGCTCAGCCACTAGACTTCAGAGATCACTGCGAGGAAAGAATAGCCTGCAGATGAGCACACTGTCCTCTATGCTCCCTCTTTTCCCCGTTCCCACTTCCCACTGCCCCCCAAACTCTTTCCTACAGCCCAGACCCCACAGAGGGTCTCGGGTGTCCTGTAGACTTGCTGTGTTCCATCCCAACAGAATGCAGATCCCATCCCATAGGTCTTGTCCAACTCAAGCAAGCAGCTGAGCATTCCCGTGCTCCCTGGCTACGCAGCCACACCAGCCCAGCTGCCCGCTTACATTTCTGCCAGAGCCTGCAGGGAAGAACTTGAGTGTGGGGAAGCTGTGGATTTTCACTGCCTCCACTTCATTAGCCGTCGAGTCCATCTTGGCAATGACAATGTTTTCATGGTCCCTGTAGATTTCTCCCAGCTTGTCCCAGATTGGGGCCAGCTGCTTGCAGTGACCACACCATGGGGCATCTGTTAATTAAAGAGATAGAGTTGCACCAACAATCTAACGGGGTACCACTCCTCCCCAACCAGGCAGTTCTCACACATCTTTGCAACCAAGGCACTGCTATTAGGGCCCAATCTGCAAAAGGCTTTTCCCCTAATCCTGGTCACGCAGTGTTTTGGCAATCCTTTCACACCAGTTACTTGGAATCAACTGTAGAAAGATACTCACAGAACTCCACAAAGACATTCTTATTCTCATCAAAAGCAACTTCTTCAAAGTTTTTCCCAACCAGAACTTTGACAGGGTGCTTGTCCCAGTCTTCAGGAAGATCCTGACTCATTAGGTGGGGCTGGAATTAAAAGTGAAATCCAAATCAACAGTTTGCTATGTGGCTGCTTGGACTGAACATGCAATCACATATCCTGGAAAACCCATGTTTCACCAGCCCACTGGTGCCTCAGTCACAGACTGTAAGCAACCAGATGAATTGGTCACTTCCTCTTCTCCCACAGAGTCTCCTTCCCACCCTGACCCAGCAGTAATAGGAGGTGCTGTTGTGCAGAGAATGTCAGCAGAGCTCTGCAGGAGGGAAGCAGCACAGCTGACATTCCAAGAGGACTGGGCTTTGCTGCACCCCCACTGCTGGGTGAGCCACGGCCCCTCCAGCAGATGGGAGCTGACAGCTCTTTTCCCTTTGCCACAGAATTCACACCTTCCACAGACTGCTGGCAGAAAGAGCAGCTAGGTAAACAGTACCATCCCCACAGGGAGAGCACAACTGCCCAAGTCCCTCTACTTGGCTTGCTCTCCTACAGCCTCCAGGCCCCAGCAGCTCTGCCTTTCATTCCTAACCACAAAGCCCATGGGATGTTCCCTGCAGAAGATGGAGGCGCTTCTCCAGCTGGCTCTCCAGCCCCTCATAGAGGGCATTTCTGTTCCTGCTCAGCTACCTTGTTCACCATCAGTACTGTTTATCCACACACCTTGATCTTGCCTGCCAGGAACTTGTTACAGAACTCTTTGATCTTGTCTGCTGTGAGTTCATCAGACTCAGGTTTGTATTTGGTCATTTCTTCCTCTAGGGTGATCAGACGTACAGCTGGGCACTCTTCCTTCTTTAGGCCAAAGAACTCCAAAATCCTCTGGTTGTCACTGTGGTCACTGTCTATGAAGATGAACAGGATCTTGGGAGGAAAAAAAATGAAAGGCAGGAGGTGAACCTGAGTATCTTGTGGCTGCTGACACTTCACACACGCTCGCACCAAGTGTAGCTGAACTGGTTCTTTTCCTCCCCCTGTCCCAGAAGAGAGAGCCAGCATAAAGTCCTCCTCCACAACTGCTCCATGGATAGACAGTGCCACACTTCTCTGCTGGAGGTGGGTGATATCTTAGCTCATGATCCAAGAAATCCACCTCACCTTCCCTTTGAAGTTCCCAGCTGCACTCTTGAAGTTGTCCAGCTTCCCTTGATAGTCAGACACACTTTTTGGTAGGAAAAGCAGAATATGAGTCTTGATCTCTCCTCCAAATATTTTAGGAGCAGTCTGAGGAGTAAAAAATAAAGTTTATTTTTGGAAAAGAGGCAAATCAGTACCCAAGCTAGTTTAACTCCACTATGCTGACCAGTGCATAGCAGACTCCAGTACTGCAGGACTATTCTGCACAGCAAGCTCAAACCTTTTTTATTCTGTGTCCTTCCCATTCCTCCATACCCCTGTTGTCAGCTCCACAATAAAACATGACCCTAGAATCTACAACTGAACCTCTGCTATATTCTTGCAGCAGCCATGGGAAGGGCCTTGTCAGATATCTAAAGACCCACCTGCTCAGTGAACTCTATGACCAGAGGCAATGAATTAGACTTGATGAAGTTCAGCAGATTATCTTTTGTGAGATCCCCTTCAAAGTTGTTCTGGCCTTCATCAAACTGCAAGAACAGACATTCTTCATTAGAACCCTTGTGCAGCCCACACAAATCTCTCAACGCCTTCACACCGATCACTGCCCCAAGGGATCTCAGCTGCACTCATTTAGAGCAGACTTCCATCTCAGCAAGGTTACCCCATGTCCACATAAAATCTGGGTCAAGGTGTTTATCCTTCTTGCCAGCAAAGCTTTAAATCACCCCCCACCAGAAGATAAGCAGCAACAACAGCCAGGTTTGATCTCAGCCTTGCTCTGCACCACTGTGAAACCCTCGGTGGTGCAAGTCACCAAGAAGGACCCTGAGCAGCTGCCTCCAGCTTCTCTGCAGCAATCAATGGTCAGAGTAGACACTTGCAGCCATTGCTGAGAATGTCTGACTTGCAGCAAACAGTGATTTCCTCAGGTCTGGGGGCTTCATTCCAGACTCTGTTAGGGACAGCAGCACATGTTGCACATAACACCAGAGGTGCCACATCCTGTTCTACAGGGCCATCACCCATATCATCCCTGACCAGGATCCCAGAACCCCCTGGTAGCCTGAAACAGGAACAGCTGCAGAGGGCAAATCAAGGTTAGAGGGAGGATGTGCAGAAGGGCACAGCAGTGTCCTGGCAAGACCATACTCAAGATGCTGACAGAAGGCAGAGTGTGGACTCGGATAACCTTCTGTTAGGGGAGGCACACCAGTCTCAGTGGAAAAGCCAAGGAAAACACTTAAGATTGGAAAATAA